GCCATGAGTTGATGACTTTCCTAGTTATTTGTTGTTTTTAGTAGCATAATAACTACTTATTTCGGGTAACATGGCCTTGTAAAATAGTTGCTATTTTAAAAAAGTAAAAAATACGGAAGTTCGCCGGGCCAAATTTCGCTAAAATTGTCACTAAAATAATCAAAGTACCGAATATCGGGAGGTACAGTTATATGGGGGCTATACCAAAACGTGGACCTATATGGCCCATTTTCAATACCAAAAGTTCTACAGACATAATATACATTTGAGTAAAATTTTATACCTACTTCTTTTCGTTCGGAAGCTAGAGTGATTTTCACAGACGGACGGACATCGCTAAATCGACATAAAATTTTATGCTGATCAAGAGTATATATACTTTGTGAGGTCTAAAATATATATTTCGAGGTGTAACAATACTTAATATACCCTCCATCCTATGGTGGGGGGTATAAAAATTGGCAAGGAAACTCATAATTTGGCAAAGAGAATTTTTACTGGCGACTTTCACATCATCATATAACCATATAATGCGAAGGGTGTACCAGAAAATGTAGAAATCGGACCACTCTTTCTGCTATGATCACAAATGGTCAATGTTTAGTAAACTGCAAAATAATATTATTTTTTATAATAAATTTACAAGTTCTTTCAACATTGGAATATGTATTTTGACAGTCAGCTGGAGTTTCTGTCCGGCCTTACATAAGTCTTGAATTGCGATATGCCCAATTTAGACATTTAATAAAAATATTTTACATTTTCTTGCAAAGTTCCCGAAACTTGGGACAAAAGGACTAATAATAACCCCTTTTCTTATCTCCATCTTCATGAAGTTTCCTACTCTATGAATGAAATATCTTATATATTTTTGCAAATGTTCGATTTTTGATCAGAAAAAGTGAACCGAAATATTCCATCTATACGATATTAGATTTTATGTTGGCAGAAATATTAAGTACCCAGATTTTGTAGTATTTTCTTGAAGTGAGAAACTACTAACCGATAAATTTCTCACTTCAAGAAAATTAAGACAAATTCACTATGCTACCTAAGATAAGTGGATCATTTCATATTGTATCAGTGTTGTGATTATTTTACATTTCGACGCTTTGTGAAGAAAATTTGTATTGTAACTGTATTTGCCACTTTTAGACACAACACAAACGAAATATAAAAGGTCTAGCTTCATTAATATGGGCTGTAATGTGATAGACAGATAGACAGGAGGACATTGTTAAATTGACTTAGAATGTTATGCTGATAATGAATATGAATACTATAGGGGGTCCTCGTTGAATATTTAGTGGTGTTATAAACGGAATGAGAAATTTAATATTCCCTCCTTTCCATGGTAAAGGGAATAAAAAAACAAGTAAGCAAAGACTATAGTCGTGCAGGGCCAACCTTGTGATACAATATAATAAGCTGGAAGCCTCTTTATGTCCAAATTCATTTTTGAAAATTTCTGGTTTGAAATAATGCCTTAGAGCCCTGCCCAGATGTTACCCTTATCTTTTTGACCGGGGGTATTTGCCCAACATTTCAAACTAAATTTGTTTTCCATTTTACAGCTTAATAGAATCCAATTGTCATTCAAAATACTAGACTTCTTCCCTGTCCTTAACTGTCTTCTCATGCAAAATATCCGTGTCGATTGGTTTTCAATTGTGACCTGTAGAGCGACTGCAAAATCAGGAAAAACTATAGGCTTTAATTTTGACCCCATTCCCATGCAAAATTTCGTGAGGATCGAAAGATAATTACGACCTGTATATAATACCCTCAATACATAGTGCTGCGGGGTGCAGAAAAACTTTAGAAAATGTACAATTCAAAATTGTGAATCAAATTGAAAAAATCGCATGCTCCAAAAAAAATGCGACAATATTAAAAAACAAGTAAGCAAAGGCTACAGTCGAGCGGGACCGACCGTTGAATACCCTACAACACTATAATAAACGATACAGTTTATATAGGCGAGATACTCGAAAGAATTCCACAAGATATTGTGACAAATAATAAAAGAAAACCATCAGGTTTCGTTCTCTAATTTTCGAATAATAGCAACTTAAACTAATTTGCTCATTTCCAATTTATTGGTAGATGTTGCACTTAAATGGTCTTCCTAGATCTGGAACCAATATTTCCCAAAGACCCATAATTTCTCAGAAGTGGCAAAAGATTAACATTTATTATTGGTTTTTGACTGAAACGCATCTATATGAGATACAGACATTTGACTATATTCTTCAACGAAATCAGCGTTAACGAAATAGTCAGAAGTGCGTCTTTCCTGTATTTGTGAATTCTCCAAGAAGTCACTGTAATGGACATTTTCGTATTTTGTCTACAAAAGTTGGCAACTATTTCACACATTGAATATTTTTGGATGGCCATCCAAAACTGCTTGGCTTTTGCAATTTCCGGTAACCCCCATTCAAATGTGCCTGAGGATCGAGCGATAATTACGACCTGCTGACAATTTTGCAGTTTTTTGGTCCATTTCAACCCCTAAATATATCATCATCTCCATCGATCATCTCCAAAAAGAGTAGGCTTCTATTCTGACCCTCATCTTATCCCCATGCAAAATTTCGTAAGGATCGGGCCATAAATGCGATCTGTATATGATATCCTGATTTCCTAACTACTTAGTTTTGTTAGCTGTAGAAATATTACCAAATGTTTAATTCAAAATGAAAATATGCCAAAAATATGAGAAAATTGAAAAAATATGAGAAAATTTACAAAATCAATATTTTCATCTTTAGAGAGATATTTTTATGCGTTTTTTCTTTTCTGCTAAGAGGTCATTCTGAATTAATGAGAACTGTCGAAATCAGTTCAGCCGTTCTCGACATAAAGTAGATCTTTCAAGCATATCTTCTTTGATAGACATATATGTCGCATATATTTTGCTATATATCCGATTTGTTGGATGTTAACATCAATGTAAAGATCAGAAGTAACCCTGTCATGGCTTTGTGATTTCGCCGGGATTTAAAATATTCGCGGTTGAATGAAAAATTTCGAATTTTTTCAATACAAAATATATGGTCTATTTTACCCGCTAAATATAATCCGATGACCACCCAAATTGGTAAGCTTCTTCCCCGCACTAAACTCTAGCTACATGCGAAATTCCGCGTCGATTGGTGTATAATTGCGACCTGTGTAGCTACTGCAAAATCCGACATTTTTCAGTATTTGGTCCATTTCAACATTTGGCGATCATTGCCAAAAGAAATAGGGTTCTATTCTGACATTAACCCCACCTACATTTTAAATTTCGTGAAGATCGGGCCATAATTGCGACCTGTAGAGTGATTACAAATAAACATGGACAGACGGACGGACGGACATACATAGCTAGATCGACTCAGCTCGGCGAGCTAGGAAGATCTATATATACTTTCCTATATGGGAAACCAATATTTCGAGGTGTTACATAAATTCTGGCCCAATCAAACTTATAATACCCCCAACACATAGTGTTGTAGGGTATAAAAAAAACAATGTAATAAAAAATATAGTCCAGCGATTCTGGACTTATGAGCAGAATAACTTAGATTTATTTATTTTAGATATGTATAGTACCCTATTTGCTATATATCCGACATCTTGATTATCAGCATCACTGTGATGGTCAGAAGTGACCTATTAATGTATTTGTGATTTGGGCGGGATAAAATAACAAAACAAATTCGTGGTTTAGGGCAAATTTTCATATTTTTGAAATAAAAGTTATTGTCTATTTTATACGCTAAATATTGTTCGATGGCAGTCCACTTTGTTAGGGTCCTGCTCAGTCTTAAACTCTAAATCCATGCAAAATTCGTTGCATTCGTTGATTGATTTATAATTGTAGACTCTAGAGTAAGTGCAAAATCAGGAAATTTTTATGTTATCGGTCCATTTCAATCGCAAAATATTTTGCGATCATCTCCAGAAACAATAAGCTTTTATTATGACCCTAACCCCACCTCCATTTTCAATTTCGTGAGGATCGCGCCATAATTGCGATTTGTAGCGTGATTACAAATTAACATGGACAGAGGGACGGACATACATAACTATATCGACTCAGCTCGGCGAGACGGGAAGATCCATATAGAGTTTCCTATGTCGGGGACAATATTTCGAGGTGTTGCATAATTTTTGGCCCAATCAAACCTTAATACCCCCAACACATAGTTTTTGTGGGTATAATTAAGTTTGGCGAAGTTTAACACAAATTCGACACTAGTTTTCTTTAAATTGAACGACGGCATTTGTTTACTCATGACGTGATATGTTTGTCGGGAAAAGCTTCGTATTTTCCCTTTTTGTTTGTATGCTGGCGCTGGGATTCGTAATAGCGTCCTTAAGTTTTGTAGTCCGACGTTATTCATTACTTAGTATGATGAAAGAAAGTTATTTTGCCATGTGATTTTTTAGGAATAAATCATTATTTTTATCTTACAGTGAATACACAATTCTCATTACGTTTGGTCTACTAGTAATGCAGACGGTATGTAGTTGTCATTATTAGTAATGTTGCTAAGTATGTACACTTATATATTTTTTTCGTAAAATCACGCATTTTATCCAAATACTGTGTTGGTACATGTTTCTTTGCAGTTAATGCTGAATGTTGCTGATATATTTTTTTGGGTTCTTTTTTTTCTTTTTCAAATGTATCATCGTACGACTAACACATCTTTTTCTCATAGTCTACGTCAGACGTTTCTCACACGACTCTCAAACATTATCATGCTTTTTCTGTTATTTTTTTTATAGACAAAGTGGGAGACTGACAAACAACAAGAGCCGCCACGGCAACAAAAACACGAACGACAACGGCTGCCACTTAGCCAAGAGCTATAAACAACAACGGCTAAAGTAGCAGTAGCTGCAGCAACAACAATGATTCCGACAGAGCTACAATAGCGGGCGACGACATCAGCTGCAGGCAGGCAACACATTCGATTGTGGATACAACAAACCAACTGACAGACAGCCATTTCAGCATCCAAACACATTTGGCCAACAACTAAATAACCGGCAGTTGCGGCGACGGCGGCATTCGTTGTGGTCGCACTTTTTCATATTTTTGCGTTTCAGTTTCATTTAGAACGTGGAATCGCATGGTTCGAACAGAACGGAAAAATCAACTTCGCAAACAAACAAGAAAATTAAGAAAAAATATTATTTGAACAATTTTCCAATTTTTCACATCTTTCCGTCAATCAAAAAGAAAAAAAAAAAAAAAGGAAAAGTTGTTTTTAAAAGTGTGTGGGCCAAAAGGAAAATTTTTGCATTTTGGCTAAAGACGAAAAACAAGATTAAAAGAAAATATACGATCACGTGAACTTTGTACAAGTGAGTTGAAGGTGAAGAAAGTGTTTAAGTGAGATTGAAAAGGAGCGAACTTTGTTTGCACTTTAGAGCCTATTGGTATTGCATGAAATCATTCGAATGTTGCAACAGGCAGTCTGGCAACTGGCAGTAAATGTTTGATACACCAAAGAGAAAAACACAGTTTACTCGACTTGCTAACGGACTGACAGACTAACTGACTGGCAAGCGCATGAACGCACGTAATAGAATAATCCGACGTTTAAATCAAGTTTCTGTCTTCTGTCTAGGCTGCGCTCTTCTTTTTGTTTTGAGTCTTATTCTTGGTAAAGTTCTTGTAAAGTAGATGTTTTGCAACAAACCGGAAATTCGAGATCAGTTGTTCGATACCGTTGTTAGCCGGCCACCACAAGTACCACTAACCAAATACAGAGCAAACTCTTACACCGTGTAATGTTTATTATCTGTTATTATCTGACAAATGGCAAATACATTGTGGAAAGTATTGTTCAAATTTTCATTGGTTTTCATAAAAACCATTCCCAAAAGGATACTTTGAAAAAAATAGTAGTACATGCGATGGAAAAACTTGGAAGAGAAAATAAAAAACTAGAATATGATATGTGATAAAGTGTCCCAAGTTTCGGTCGAACTTTACTCTCTCCGCTATCAAATGTATTCATTTCAAATGAACTGGTTTTTGAAATGAGCAGTTCACTTGGTGAAAACCAAAAATGCTCAAGCAACCTGTAGGCTTATTCTGTAACATTTAACTACTCTTGTTATTGTTAGAACATTTTTTGTTATTGTAACAAAAACAAAACAAACATATGTTTTTTTTTTTTGTAAAATAAACAATGGGTAAAATTTTAAAAAAAAAGTTACAGAATGGGGTCCCTGATTTGGTTAGACAATTTGGGTAATGCATTCCGAATACCATACCATAAGCAGCCTTTGCCAAATAATACACCTACGTTTGCATTTTCCAATCCCGAAACAAATTACAACCGTTCGATTTCAAAATGTGTAAAGCATTTAATGAGTAAAATATTTTATATGAAATATTTGATTTTTTGGAGAAAGCAGAGGAAGGAACGCAGGAATATGTTTCTTGAAGTATTGAGTTTTGAAGTTTTGGTAGGTATTATTAAAAGAACAAACAATAAAAACTAAAATTCGATTATTGTAGTTTTATGCAAAAGAAAAGTCGAACAAAATTCTATGATCTCAAAATCCACTGGCGAAGTCGACCTCGACTATTGTATTTTTCCACACTACAATCGATTATTTTATAGTCATTGTACGGAACACTTCCCCATCTGATTACTGAGTCACGGTATAAACTGACACCCAAACCTTAGCTTAAGGATGTAGTTTTCATTTCATAGATTTACTACAATTTTTGGAAATGGAGCAATTTAAACCATGGTATATCCTTAGTCCTTTATAATTCCACAGATATCGCGAATCACGTTTAAAATTGGTGATCAATGAATGTAAATTTTATTCCTTAAAGCCATATGTTTGATTCTGATTTTAGACCAAAATGAAACCAGACGAAAATGAAAACTAAAATGAATTGCTCCCGAGAATTTATGTCCAAACTGTCATTCAAAGCTGTAAAACACAAAAATTAAATAGTTTGTTTTCCTTGTTACTATTGGCGCGTGCCATCTTATCTTATGCGTATGTATAGCCGAGTGAACTCTGTTTTAGACCAATGTTCATTTCTAACACATACCAAAAAAATTTAATGGCTTAATTTTTGACCCAAAAAATGTGTATCTGAAACTATATATGGGAAAACCCTAAATAATTTGTCTTCGCCTTTTTTCAACAAACTACCAAAATATCCATCGCATTCACAGATGTTGGCCTGTACTTGCTTTAAGTAGACACATTTACATGCATTACCATTGTTTTCAATCCAACGTTTATCTGTATTTTTTCCTCGGTTATGTCTGCTGCACTCGCTCAATATTCTTCATTCATTCTATTCCATTGTATTCTATTTTATGTGCAAATTTTTGTTTAGTTGGTAGTTGGCCGGTTTTTGGTCTAGTTTTTCTTCCCCTTTGTTTCCAGTGGATTGTTTGTTTGTTTTCAACTACAAACATCATCACAGCAAATCTGTTTATTGTTCTTTTAGCCAAATATTTTTCAATTGGTTCGGACGCTTATTCATTTATTTTGTAACTTGGCAGAACAGCCATACTGACGTCGCGACGTCAACAATCAACTTATACCCAAGAAAACCTTCCTTCGAAGATACCGGTTTGCTAACTGCAACAAAAATAGTTAGAACACATTGCAATATAACTTTGTTGCAATGTACCTCACCTGTATTTATCTCTTTGGTGCATGCTTTTATGTTTTATTATCAGTTGCCGTTGATCTGAATAGAAACAAGTGAATAATTAATAAAAATTGTTGAAACGAAACTTCCCAAAAATCTATATACAGTAACAATAAACATTTGGAATAATCAGATATTTGAAGAGAGATTGTTTCGAAACCTCAAATATACAGATCAATAAAGCAGTGTGTTCTTCCCCGACGTGCACAGTATAAACAAAATAAATCCAATAATTCAACATATTGGGGTAAGTAAAGTTTGATTGAAGATTGGAAATTATTTGTTAAAAAAGCACGATATTTCATAAAAAGGAACATTTTAAATTCTTAAAAAAAGAGGAATATGAGTTCATCGGATAAATACTAAAATACGAATACGACAACAGTTTTTAATTCAAAATATTTATGGCATAGACGTTCAGGAGAATAAATTACAGAAAAAACTATAAAGATTTATACAGATTCACTGACTCTTCTGCTTCCACTTCTTATTCGGCCAGGGAAACAATATGATATAATTGGAGGAACCATCACTTTAGACCGTGTTTTTTAAAAATGAAGGCTAAGGCTTTGAATGTGTGGGTACCGAGAATATCTCAAAAGAAAAATATATGCATATACAGTGTGAGATAAAAAAACTGCAACAAAGTCAAACACTATAATTTTTACATTTTTTTTTTTTATTTTATTGAATGTCGGAAATAGCATCAAAGTTTAGAATTGTTCGATGTGCGATGGTTCTGAGTCCTGTTGGAATGTCCAAGGTCTGCGGTCAAAATGTTTGCGTGCCCAAGGCTTTAGTACACCCTCCAGAATATTTTCGCGATAATATTCGGCATTTATTCTAATGCCACGGTATTTATATGAGCGAAGAGCGACCATCGGCTGTTATGGCGGCCCACACTATCACCATGACCGACGCTTGAGTTCTGGTGGTCAACCGAAGTTGCACATTTTCAGCTGACCTCTTTGGCAAGTAAACACGATCATTGTGTTTGTTTACAAACTGCTGGACAACGAAAGTTTTCTCATCGGAGAAAACCAAATCCGACAGTTCACCACTTTCGGCCAAGCGAAGCAACTCTTTAGCTCTTTTGAGTCTATTTTCTTTCTGTTGCGGTGTAAGTTCTGGCACTTTTTGGAATTTAAATGGATTTACCCCGATCTCATTTTTCAATATTTGCCGAATATTCCATTCGCGCGATATGTTCAGCTCGCGAGCCATTTTTTGGCCACTGCGAGCGGGTTTCGATCAAGTCGCTTCTTTACTTTCCAAACCATTTCTGCTGATGTTGCTTTTACCAGTATCATGGTAACGAGCGATGGTACGAGACACAAAAGATTTATTCACATTTAAATGCTGGAGTGCTCTAACGATAGCCACTTGTGGTTTTCCAGCCAAATATGAAGAAATCACATGATCACGCTTGAATTCCATCACGAATAACTTTTTTTCTGGAAAATTCTCAACAAAATGCTTTCGTATACTTGTAAACAATATAATGAGCAGTCATTGAAATAATTTTAACAGGTGTCGAACGAGTGGCTTTGAAATGACAGCAGTCTGAAGTTGATTACAGTTTGTTTTATCTCACCCTGCATAAACAAATGTTTCGATAATTTTCATTGCTTTGAAAGATATCCAACTTTATGTGTATTATACAAACCGGTATTATATATCGGTGCATTTCAATTTTTAAAATCAGGAAGTTGTTTCAAGAAAATAGTTGTCCAAGAATTACATTTTATGGTCGAATTCAGAAACTTGCTTCGTTTGTTTAGCAACATCAACTTTTGTACCACGAATGTAAAGGAAGAAACACCAGGACTATTCTTCTTATTTTTTCAAATTCAGTCCTAGAGTTATTGAACTGTTTGCAAAATTTCTGGTCGATAGAATGATTATAAGGTTAACAAGATCAACGAACGACTCTTAATACAGATGCAAGGTGATAGATATAACAACAAATGGGTCTGGGGTTATTATTGCTCCAGTTGCAAGTCTTATGCTGGAGGGTAACAAAAGGCGGCATTCCAGAATATGCGGTGAAACCAAAGTTTTTGTCATTCATTTTACGGTAAAGTTCTGTTTTATCGGGTAATTTCAATTTAATTTTTAATGATTTTTCTTCTTAATTTATTCGAAAAACACTTAACGCTTGCACTCTGCATAATTGGACAATTAAATGGGTGGAAAATGCATCCAACAATGCCATTAAACTCGAGCGACAGACATAAAAGAGAATATTTCGGACATTTCAATGACGAGTCACTTTTTAATGAAATGCGGTCAGATAATCTAAAAACAAATTGTTTTTTCAAAATATAATTCATTTGTGACATCTTTAGATTTATGTGCGATGTATGTTTGTAAACAAACATTTGCAAATATGTATATATTTTAGTTGATAATTTTGAAGTATGAGGATTTCCACAGATCAAGTTTGTATTATATCAAGTACTGGACTCGTTTTTTATGAGGTAAATGTCTGTTTTTTTTTTCGAGATATCTGAACAAATGGAGTGTATCGCATCAAGTACTCGGAGTGAACCGAAGATAATAATAACATTTTTTTGGGATCTTAGTTATTAAAAAAAATGTTATTAGAAACCGGGGACTAAAATATCATCATTGCATCGTTTGGATTCAAAGGATGATTCAATTATGTTAGTTTAACACATAAAGTTCTCTTTAAAGAAATAAAAATGAATTGTAGTTAAATTTGAAATGATTCTTTGTTTTCTTTGAATATAAACAGCTGTATTACACTTTGATAAATATTTAAACGACATAGTTTTGTGTTAACATTTTAGCAACACGGTCTCATCTCTTTTTTGTACATTTTTATTTCCATGTTTTATTTTTTGTTAATTATTACCATATTTTTTTACTTTGCATCCCCATCTGGTCATTCGCTGTATTGTGATTTTATATCTCTGAATCATCGAATAGAAAATAAACGCAACAGTTTTCGAAATTTATTGAATCGGACTACTCGTATTTTGTAATTTTTGTTGTTATAAATGTCAGCGTTGCTGCCGTATGGAGAACAAGATACGTCCGCCACCTTCATCCCCCATATATGTGTGTAGGTGTCCATAGAAATTCTGACGCTATAGTCTATTAATATATCATTTCTTACACTTCTTGGATAGACAATTGAGTAATCATCCGTTTTGATTTTTATTAGTTTTTTGTCTATGTTACGTTGTGGCAGAAAAATCAGGTGTTTCATTTTAGTAAGGGTAAAAATTACTTAGGGTTTGTTTGAAATAAGTTATATTAACGTTATAATGCAAAAATATTTTTGAAATGTTGAAATTTCCAACTGAAATGAGAAGAAAATGAATTCCCAGATTGAACAAGAACATATTATGGAAGACAAACAATTTATTACGTCAGTTTCACATACGTTAATGTGAAAATTTGAATTTTGGCACAAAAGTTTATGTAACCTTTTTTCCAGAGCCCTCAAAAATTAATCATTTTTCCCATATTATATAATTGGATAGAGACTTTTAACTGTCTGCCTGATATGATAATTTTTTAGAACTATCATCTAGTTTTTACAGTTTTTTCGTTGTTATATTTTTTTCCATAACCGATCCGACAAATATGTACCGTCAGTATACGAACCAAATGCAACAAAAAAGTACTATATTGTACTATTTTTACCATTTGAACACCAACATTTGCGCGCAAAATGAAGAGAACGCAGAATTTTTATCCCTCCACCATAGAATGGAGTGTATATTAAGTTTGTCATTCCGTTTATAACACCTTGAAATATATATTTTAGACCCCACAAAGTATTTATGTTCTTGATCAGCATAAAATTTTGTCGATGTCGATGTAGCGATGTCCGTCCGTCTGTGGAAATCACTCTAGCTTCCGTACGTTTATTGATAAAATTATGCTCAGATGTGTGTTTGTTCTGGAGGCAAATGGGCTATATAGGTACACGTTTTTGTATAGCGGCCATATAACTGTACATCCTGGCATAGAAATGTTAATGTAGGTCTACGTTTTGATATAGTTCCATATCTGTACCTGCGCCTTAAAATATTTAGTATTTTCATGATTTGTGTCATACTTCTCACCGGAAAGCCAATGACAGAAAATTGCTCAAACTGGTCTACGTCTTCGTAAAACCGCCATATACCGGTACCACCCTATATTCGTTATTTTTGATGGTTTTAGTAACATAATCCACCCGAATTATTTCAAACCTCGTATTGTAAGTTCGTAATTGGTAATACAGCCTGTGGCAGAAAATTGTCTGTACAGGTACTCGTCTTCGTATAGCCCTCATATAATGGTCACCCATATATTCGGTATTTTGATGATTTCTATTAATCGGAATTGTTTCAAATTTTGTATTTGAAGTTCCTAATAAGTAAAACAGTCTTTGACAGAAAATTGCTTATGAAGGTCCCCGTCGCACAGGGTCGCTACCGTGGCCAAAAATGTTGATGGGAAATGATATAAATCGTATAAATTAGAAGGAATCTGAATCTTTGAATTTTTTTGGTCAAGTATTTTTTACTATACAGGGTGAGATAAAAAAACTGCAACAATGAAACCGTCACACGCTGCCCAAATGTTGCTCTGCGTTGTTTTGGCCCATTCCCGGCGAAGCGCTGTCTAGCCTTCACTCCAATATCGATAATTTTGCTTATTTACGTACCTATTCATTGAGCTAACATAAGCTTCGTCGTCAAATAGAAACTTTTAATAAAAAAGTGGATATTCGGACAACTTTCCAAGACCCCAATGCTCGTTTTCCAAAAGCAATGTTCGCTTATATAACGATTCATAGTTAAATTATAGATTAAACTGAAAATGTTTGAGAGAAAAAATAGGAAAGGTAATCTGTTTAAACCAGTGAAACTGAATTTAAGTTGAAGACAGAGGGCTTAAATTAATTTTATTGTTCCATCTTATGTCTAAAGATATCTCTTTGTATTTTAGAAAATTTTAGCCAAAATTTCCCTATAAATCATTTGTATTTTTACAGTTTGGTTTTTCAATAGGTACAAATTCTTCATTAAATATTACAATATATGTAGGCTGCTCTTATATTCTTATATCTTCCATTAGCGTTCCCAAGCCGTATTTTTTCCAAGTTAGCTATAGATACTGCCACAGCGAATATTTTTCTATGTATGTATATTTTTCTACAGCAACAAAAAAAGGTACGAGAGATGTTTTTCTAGGGATCGTAGTTTCCTGAAAAATATTGATTTAAGATCTGTGAGGAATTTTCGAACGGTGGAACTTTATATTGACAACATCCGACTTTTCAATGAGAAATTTATACATTATTTTTAAAGTTCTATAATCAAAAACTAGAAAGGGAGTCTTGGTATTTGGAAAGATTGTTTGAGCATTCAAACTTTGTTTCACAATATCCTAAAGAATTTTTTTAATTTAATTAAAATAATTTCAGATCTACTGGGATTTTATAGTGGTGTAGGGTCTCACAGATTCGGCCGCCCACCGTTAAATACATTTTTCAAACTCTTTCATTGTTATTCGCATTTAATTAAATACAATTTTGTGTTACCGGTGCAAACACGCTCACGAATGCCCCACTGCATTTAAAGTGTGTGTGTGAGTGTGCATGCATGTGCATTGTTTTACGCAATGTAATTGCTCGGAATAATTTAACAAAAGTCTTTAGTTTAACCTTTACTTAGAGCGGAGAACAAATGCACTCAGGTGTGGTAAGAAACGATCAAGTTCAGCCAATATATTTCATGGCCTTTGTTCGCCAGTGCCCAATGTATGTACGTACACACGATTCTAAACACTTTGTGTATGTAGCTTTTATATTATTTCATAAATATGTATTTTTAGAAGTAGTCCTAAAAAAGAAATAAAACGTTTATTTTACTTTGTTGTGTTTATACAAAAAAAAACTATTTCATTGAGTGCTTAATTAGCTCCCACTGGATTTAGCTGTTCATTCATTAAATCTCATTGAGCGGAGATATTCAGATTGTATGTGAAAGTTCTCCGTGTGTGTCTGAAGTTTTCTTATTGAGAGGAAATTTCAATTGGATTTACAACGAATATCGAAGTGAAATGAAATGAAAACCTTTCAGCATATACACACTCACGCAGCACTTAACCTATAGCAGGCTGCTCATATGGAACATATGGTCGCCCTAGTGTTAATGGTCTTTCTATTGCATGTAAAACACTATGAGTACCATTATCTGGAAATGGAATCAAATGAATATTACGAATATGTATGTGAATTCTCTTCGTAATACAGCAGAGTATACATTTTGAATTGAAAGCTACAGAATGCACAGTGATTTAAAGTATAGTAACTTTAAATTAACTTGAATTGGCCACATTCCAAATTCTGTTTATAGAACCATCTCTGCTGCTAACAACACCACACGACCCATCTTAGAACTTGATCAAAGTTCACATGCGTGCGAAATCGCAGATTGCAAATAACATACGTACAGGCATGGCTAAGCCGTGTTTGAATTCTACGCAGATCAAAAATATACTCATATTTTATAGGATCTAAAATAAATTTTTTACACTTTTTACTGATTTAGACTAGACCAACTTTTGAGCTTGTCTCAGGCATTTATATAAACCTATTTGTTTTCAGAAATGCCAATTTTTCATTATTGCCTTTCTTTTTTGAAGCTGTTATTACATAAATTTTTGCTTAAAAAAATTGAAACACCAAAGGAGTTTGCATTCCCCTTACCTCTCTCTAATACAGATAAAAATTTTCCGCATGTAAACGCGCCTAATGAAAAAGGGAAGAGAACAAAGTTAAGTTTCTTCTATGGTTCTCTTTTTATATAAATAGTATAGGATATAGGAAGTGATGTCAAGAAAATACGTAAGAGGTAATTTATAAATTCTAAAATTTAAAAATATCGTTGTAGTTGGAATATATTTCCCAAGGGCCTCTAAAACTTGCAGAGTTTATTCCCAATGCTGTAGATCGTTTTTTTAAATTGTTTTCTAAAGTAACAACGAGAAAACAATACAAGCCGTTTATATTCACTGTGCGTTCTAATAGTTTTCACTTATTGCCAATGGCAATTGACTAACCCACAAAATTAATGCTCGAGTACATAATATCGGCATGCCTCATCTCTGCTGTTCGAGTACAGCAGGCAGAGAGAATAAGTAAACTGAACGACCCCAATCTATCTAACTCGACCACAAGACAAGACTCTTGATTGAATGGACACTTAAAAAGTCCAATGGTTTAATTAAAAGTTTATGCCCCGGCGATTGGGTGTGTACTTGCATAAAAAGTGAATATCTAAATCCAAAGGATATGACTGACACATGTCCTCAGATGATGAAACTAAACTAGAACAAGTATATGCATGCTATTACTAGGCTAATAGCAACGTAAATAATAACAGGGAATGTAGGGAATACAAAACTACAAAATACATTTCTTTTCCACATTTCCATTTTAAAATGTCCACTTGTTTCTTCTCTAGTTGCAGGAAAACTTTCCGACGACTCTGATTGCCTGGCAATAAAGAACGTCAACAAATATCAATGTCAGCAGCCACTTGTTCCCGCGTAACAACAAAAATGGGTCCCAGCAACAAATCGAAGACAACCTCTGGCACCGAGACCTCATCGACAGTAAAACTGGGTCGTCTCTGTGGTGGTGCGACCAATGGCTATACCAACGGTCGCAGTACAAATGCTGGCAGTGAATCCTCAGATCCCTTAGAATCAGACTACAGTGAAGAGGCCGACGAGGAAGAGGATACTAAACACAGCAGTCGCACAGAGAACACATATGAGGACATTGATAATAACGATGAGGAGGATGATGATGACGATGAAGAGGACGACGACGACGAGGAGGAGGAAGAAGATGATGAGGATGATGATGGCAATGAAACGGACGATGAAGAGGATGATAGCACAGAAGATAATAGCAGTGTAGAAACAGCCAAAGGTGTTAGAAAATATAGTTTGGATGATTATCAAATTATAAAAACTGTCGGTAAGTGGAATTTTTGTAAATATTTGTTTGGAAGAGTTTCAATCGTAACACTGAAGTAATAAGTAAACATATCAATTTCCTGCAAATATAATTAGCAAAGTGAGACTGGATTATGTCCGAAGGTATCAAACGAAGTCTTTATCTATCGAGTCTTTATCTATTTCTCTTTGAACTCCGATTAAGGGAAATTACGATTATCATAGGGATTGAATACAAACCTTCTCACGTCAGATAAAAAATGTACAAAAACTGGTGGGCTTTGAATCCCTAAAATTCAAAGTTACTGTTATATGAGGTCTTTTACAAATACTAAATATCTTTGCGTAATATTTCTTTTCGTCACTAGTCTAAGCTAAGTAATAGAATGTGCATGGGATTTAAAAACCTCAAGATACTGGCAGCTAGAGACTTAAATTGTACTTTAGCAACAGGGTAGATCCTCTGAGAACCAAATATAAGCTAATTTGATTGTGGATACAACTGAAATGTTCAAAAAATAATTAAGAGGGTGTCCTTCTGGTACTTACCAATACAAGAGTTCAGCATTTTCAAAAAATTAATACATAGACATATCCTCATATAAATTGAAGTAAGTAGTCGATATTGTCCAATCCAGCATCTAGGGTGAGATAAAAAAAAACTGCAATAAAGTCAAACGCAATAATTTATACACTTTTTTTAATTTTATTGAATGAAAGCAAAAATGTCGGAAATAGTATCAATTTTTAGAATAAGTTTAGATTTGTTCGAATTGGTAACCTTTGGCACAAATTATAGCCTTCAAACGGCCAATGAAACCGTCACACGCTGCCCGAATGTTGCTCTGCGGTATTTTGGCCCATTCCCGGCGAAGGGCTTGCTTGAAGTGATCGACACTTTGGTATTTTTTAGTGCCAACCTTGCTTTTCAAAATACTCCAAACACAATAGTCCAACGGATTAATATCCGGAGATTTTGGTGGCCATTGTGCGCTGGAAATGAAGCAAAGAACCTCATTTAACAATGTAACCATTCTTGGGTGGCGCGTGATGAGTGCGATGGCGCTGAGTCCTGTTGGAATGTCCAAGGTCTGCGGACAAAATGTTTGCGTGCCCAAGGCTTTAATGCACCCTCCAGAATATTTTCGCGATATTATTCGGCATTTATGTGATGCCACGGTCGATTAATACGAGCGGCGAGCGACCATCGGCTGTTTTGGCGGCCACATCATCACCATGGCCGGCGCTTGAGTTCTGGTGGTCAACCGAAGGTGCACATTTTCAGCTAACCTCTTTGGCAAGTACACACGATCGTTGTGTTTGTTTACAAACTGCTGGTCAACGAATGTTTTCTCATCGGAGAAAACCAAATTCGGCAGTTCACCACTTTCGGCCAAGTGAAGCACTTTTTGGCCACGCGGGTTTTGATCAAGTCGCTTTTTTAGTTTTCGAACCATTTTTGCTGATGTTGCTGTTTTCTTCCGTCCACTTCCTTGACGTCGGGCTACGTTACCAGTATTACGGTAAAGAACGATGGTACGAGACACAAAAGATTTATTCACATTTAAATGCTGCAGTGCTCTAACGATAGCCACTTGTGGTTTTCCAGTCAAATATAAAGAAATCACACTATCACGCTTGAATTCCATCACGAATAACTGTTTTTCTAGAAAATTCTCACCAAAATGCTTTTGTTCGCTTGTAAAGAATATAATGAACTGTCGCTGAAATATTTTAAATAGCTGGCAGGAATTTGAAGTTGCAGTTTTTCATCACACCCGTATATTAAACTTAGTCAGATGCAAAATAAACCACATCGGCACACTCCTTCGGTACCTCCCCTATAGAGGAGAATAATTATAACGCATGTCAAAATATATTTTATTAAACTCACAAAAGCTGAGGGTATTCATCTATCGGCAAATACTTTTTAACTCGTTCTTGTTCCAATTACACAAAAGGAAAGAATTGTTTTCCGATTAGATATGCCTAAGATAATTTTAAGCAACATTTTTTTAAATTAGTTAGGGATGATTTGCGTTTTAAGTCCATGTAAACATATGATAAAATAGTCTCATGTTTTGTTAAAAACTTCATATATAAGTATTCAGGTTTGTTGTGACGATATTGTTGTGGTTTATCTCAAATATAATAGGTGTTTGAGAATTGAGCATTATATTATATATATATATATATTTTTCTAGATCATTCGTTTTTCTAAGTCGTTTCGAAAACTGTTAAGCTATATCCATCTTTATGTATAATTCTCATATTTCGCGTATTTCTCAGTTTCGCGTATTTCATGCGATTGAGTGTTTAATCAAAAATCTTCAGTTGATATTGTGGTGTTATGTGCCAGCGAATTACCTCCTCTTCAAATATTGCCATTCACGTTTTTCAATAAACCATTCCACTCTTTGCGCCGTATTGTCTGAATTGCAAGCTCTCCTTATGGGACATGACATAAACATCAATTTATCATGACACACCATATTGTACTTGCCAAATAGAAAAGTCTCAATAATATTCGGCTTGTGAATCCCCACACAATAACTTTATTGTGTAATGCTCATTTATGGGGATTCATAAACACAGTCGGCGGTGGCAGTTTATTATATTTTAATTAAGCTATCAACATTCATTGATTCATTTTTCTCCAAATGTTTATCTCCACCATAAAAGTTTATTGACCATTTTCTGATGCACATATATACACGCATAAATTCATAAGTTCATATGTATGCGGGGAGTTTTCTTCTGCAGGGCATTTCATCATATTTAAACCAGAATATATATCTTTCAGTTCATTTTGTGATTGCAAAATGATTGAATGATCTTCACAATTTCTACACAGACCTTGAAATGTTGTTATTAATTTAGTTTTTTTCGCTCTTGTTTTTCGACTAAGAAATAACTTTGACCAATTTCCAATGAAATTGTGTGGAAAATCTTAAACAAACAGGAGAGAAAAACATAAACATGTTTTGATATTTTAACGATTGTTTTTGTAAATTTTCATTGTGAGTTCCCTCAGCGATGAGTCAGCCAGCCAACCATCTCCTGTTTGCTTATCTGCTGGCTAGTCACCTACCCCACCCCCATTACCACGGAAGAATATGTGTTTTTCCAATGAATCGTATGATCATCTCCAGACTTTCAGTCGTGAAGTGCGAAGACATGCCGTGTGCCATAGATGTAAACATTTCCATGTAAGAATGAAAGAACACCTCATCCTTGGGGGTAATTATTGTTGCACCTCATTTTTGCGCAATATTGTATTTAGGAGAAGATAATAGAGATTTGTATAAAGTGAAGAGCAATTGTTTGAAAATAAATGTTTCAACAAAAAACGATTTTGATTAAATCGATTCATTAAAAAACAGAAACTGGGTGTATGCACACGTTGGTGATATCTGTTTTTTTTTTTTTAGATTGCGACAGTCATTCATCTGTTGCCATTTCTTTTTCCAATTAAATACGTCATAATTTATACTCCTACTCTTAGACTTTTATGAGGGAAACGTTCTATCGAGAATGTATGAATAATCACAAAGAACTCTTGTTGTGACAATTTGCTAAATAATTTTTATTTTATGAATATGATATTATGAAAAAAAATTACCCGAATTTTAGTTTTGCGGTAGGATTAGGCTATAAAGGAATTCATTTTGGACCATTTGCGAAAAGTCTTTTACAAGTTTTTAATCAATGCTATAATTTTGATAAAAAAAATGTAAATTTTCATGAAGTTCTTGTGGTTGTTTATATATCAAAGAGAGCGAAAACCCTTTTACAGAAATAAATATTAAGTAAATTATGAAAGTCTGTCTGATTTCACAATTAACAATATCAACAAGTATAGAAAGTAATAGAAAGGCTAAAATCTTAAATACGAGCTACACAGATAACATTTCGAAATATTCAATGAGGTGATATTATTCTGATATCAATATATTTTTTCGGCCCAATAGAATATTTATTTTATACTATAAAATCGCTTAGAATATTCTATTTTATATATTCCAAGTTCATTTATTTTGCAAAAAGGGCAAAGTCGCAATTATAGACCAATTGACGCGGAATTTAGTATGTAGCTAGAGTTTAGGTCTGGGTAGAAACCTAACATTTTGTTTGGTCATCGGACAATATTTAGCCGGAAAAATATACCATAACTTTTATGTAAAAATACGAAATTTTCCACTAAACCGCGAATATTTTTAATCACGGCGAAATCACAAATAAACTAATAGGTCACTTCTGACCTTTAAAGTGTTGCTGATAGCGAGGATATCGGATATATAGCAAAATAGGTACAATCTATGTGTTCAAGAAATTAATGTTAGTTATTCCGCTTATAAGTCAGGAATCGCTGGACTGATTTGGATAATTCTCATCAATTCGGAACGGCCTCTTGCCAAAAAAGGATAAAATCTAAGAAAATCACGCAAAAATATGTCTATAAAAAGTGAATAGCTTTTATCAAATTTTATTTTATATTTGACTAACAATTGTACATTTTGTAATACGGAATTATATACGGAATATATATGTGTAGAAAAATGTTATATTCAAGTCGCAATTATCGTCCGTTCCTAACTAATTTTCGCATGGAGGTATGGTATGGGTCAGAATAGAAGCCTATTGTCGCTCTATGGGTCACATTTAAAAACCAATAGAAAGAGAATTTTTCACGAGGAGAGAGTTAAGGACAGGACAGAATTCTAGCATTTTGGATGACTATTGGATTATATTTAGCGGGTAAAATTGACCACAACTTTTATGTGAAAATGTTTTGAATAGTTAGTTAGTGTTTAGGGCAAATGCCCCGGTCAAAAACCAAAGGTAACAGATGTGCCGGACTGTATAGCATTATTTAAAAAAAAGAGGGAAGGTATTTATTTAAAAAAAGAAGGTTTTTAAATATATTGTAGTGTAGTTGGGTATCATATGGTCCGCCCCGCACGTCTATAGCCTTTGCTTACTTTTTAATGATGAATCTTAGCTACATACTTTCGAATTGTC